TTTGCTGCACTTTTTCCTTAAAACAAGAAAATCTTGAGTATAAATTCCAAGCTCTTTAAATAATCTTTAAGTTCAGGCGTGGATTCCCCAAAAAATATGGCCATTAGGTTAATAAAGCTACCCTAAGCTGCCCTTATAAGCCTGTATGGTTATCTATCCTGTGTGTCACTATATTACTCTCTGTTGGACTGCTGGTTTGTTCAGGGTTTAGCCTCTTTCTCATCGATGACCAGTGGAGTCATAGAAGCTACCTGACCAGGAACCTTATTCAAATTATCTTGAAATTGTATTGAATCAAATGTTGTAGGTTTAACCTACAATGATTTGGATATTTGTGATTGATAAAAAAAAAAAAATGATTGAAAAAATAAAAACAGATTTATTTGTGTGTGTGGTGAATGTTCATGCATATCCTTGTGTTCTGTCTTCTTTTAAGAAATTAAACCTCTGCTCTTACATTGTGTTAAAGATATAGAATTTAGTCACTAGATGTCAGCATTGCGCTAATTTAAGGGTTAGTGCTCCCAACCAACCATTCTGATATTCTCTATAAGAATGTATAACTTCTGCTAAATTAGGTTGAAGAAGATAAGATTACATTCTCACAAGAAACAATAATAGTTGACTAACGCTTGACGACACTCTTCACTGACATCTGATGTTGGATAGAAATAAAACCTTTTCTTACCAAAGTTCATACCTCTTGAACTCATTCGGAGCTCAAGTAAGAAATCAAAGACCACTTTGTGTTTACAAGAATTTTATTTGCAAGGCCAACATAAATGTTTATAAGAGTATTAAGATGGAAAAAAACTTGATGTATCCTTTTGAAGTTATTTTAATATTTAAAATTCTTACATTGTTTTCACCCAGTGGTGTTTATCCAACATTGAAGATACATATAAATACAAATCCGTACAACCAACTTTTAAAGTCACTGAGCATTAATTATGGGACTGGAGAACACATTTTACGTGTTTTACCTAAATAGAGACACAATCAGAAGTTAAGCAACACAAAAGATGTTTGGAGCATCGCAAACGCTGTAATAAGATGGGAATAGAGCAAAGCAAAAATCTCTCGATGGTGAATGTCAATACTCTTGAGGTGATGCTGTTATTCTGCAAGAAATAAGTAGCAAAAAAGGGAACTCTGCCATCAAGATAATATAGCACACAGACTTTTACTAAAATTATCCAGTTAAAAACACGAATTGGAAGTCCTAAACTAAATTCCATTAAGATTCTGTAGTATTCAAAAGTTCACAGATGGATACAAAATAGCTCAGTCACAGCGAAAAAGGACAATGCTTAAGACGGATATACACAACAATTCTCAGCCTTTCACATTAACACAAACAAGTCTTCTGTTAATGTGAAAGGCATTAATTACCTAGCAGTGGTAACATGTAATTTAACCTACACACTGGCAAAGCCATTAAATTAAAATGCATCGAAATCAGATTCCTCATGCCTCTGAATATCACTGAATATGGCCGTGGGATTCGGACAAACATTGCAATGAGTACTCAGAGACTTCATATTTCAGCTGCTGCTTGATTTGATTTTTTTCTCGTCAAATATTGAAAATGCACTGGGCAGACAGTAGAGAAAACATTTTCTAAAAAAAAAAAAAAAAAGATAAAAGTTTTTCACTTTGGTTTTAAGGTGTTTGGCTCACATGCAGACACAGACGAGGGAAAACAGGAGCAGTTTAACACTAGAAGTCTAGAGATACAAGAATTTTCATCAGTCTCGTGTCCCCCCAACAGCACCATTAGCACTGTCGTTGGAGAACCATTCCATTTTTAGGAAGTTTTAGCTCAAGCCTCTCTGTTAGAGTGCTTTACTTGAGAAAAAATTTATATTTGTAATGTAATATACCTAAGTCTACATCATCAGTGCTGCTAACACCAGAATGATTTCAGCTGAGCCACCAGGGCAGCGATCAGACGATAATTAATCTGTACAATGAAAAAAGCTGCATGAGCTGGAACACTGTAGAGGGGGAAAGCAAGAATATTTATACAATATTGACCTTCTGCCCTTTTTAGTAGGGGGCAACTACAGTATAACTCAGGCAATCTCTCCTCTCTCTCACCTCCGCTGCAACTGTGCAGACAACAAAGTAAGACTGCAGTAAAGTTGGCAATATATTCATATATTCGGCTTTTCCGGATTAATAACTCGTCAGCGGATTATTTATTCTACAAAACAGACACCTCTCTGAAACCACAGCAAGGCAGACAGTGAGCAACAACCGTAGTTTCCTCAAAACGAGTCTCCTATCGTACTGGGAGAATTAGATTGGACCCTATGCAGAGCTTGCTCCTCCGCATATGCTTAGGGACCGTCTGCAAGTTACAAAAATAAGAGAAATATTCAAAGGAGTCACCAAGGAGAGGATTATTATCAAATTCATTTCATGTGTATCTCATCTCATGTCTTTCATATCACATTTATTGGATCCAAAAAATATTACTTTTTTGAGGAATTTCCCAAAGCCAAAATGACAAATGGCACCTCTATTTTATTATTAGAATAAGTAAAAAAAAAAAAAAAAAAGAGAGCAATGACTACACTATAGATAGTCCATACTACAACTCTCACTTTCAGAATACAGTGGGGCAAAAAAGTATTTAGTCAGCCACCAATAGTGCAAGTTCTCCCACTCAAAAAGATGAGAGAGGCCGGTAATTTTCATCATAGATATACCTCAACTATGAGAGACAAAATGAGAAAAAAAAATCCAGATAATCACATTGTCTGATTTTTAAAGAATTTATTTGCAAAATATGGTGGAAAATAAGTATTTGGTCAGTTACAAACAAGCAAGATTTCTGGCTCTCACAGACCTATAACATCTTCTGTAAGAGGCTCCTCTGTCTTCCACTCGTTACCTTCATTAATGGCACCTGTTTGAACCCGTTATCAGTATAAAAGACACCTGTCCACAACCTCAAACAGTCACACTCTAAACTCCACCATGGCCAAAACTAGAGAGCTGTCAAAGGACACCCGAAACAAAATTATAGACCTGCACCAGGCTGGGAAGTCTGAATCTGCAATAGGTAAACAGCTTGGTGTGAAGAAATCAACTGTGGGATCAATTATTAGAAAATGGAAAACATACAAGACCACTGATAATCTTCCTCGATCTGGGGCTCCACGCAAGATCTCACGCCGTGGGGTCAAAATGATCACAAGAACGGTGAGTAAAAATCCCAGAACCACACGGGGGGACCTAGTGAATGACCTGCAGAGAGCTGGGACCAAAGTAACAAAGGCTACCATCAGTAACACACTACGCCGCCAGGGACTCAAATCCTGCAGTGCCAGACGTGTCCCCCTGCTTAAGCCAGTACATGTCAAGGCCCGTCTCAAGTTTGCTAGAGAGCATTTGGATGATCCAGACGATGACTGGGAGAATATCATATGGTCAGATGAAACCAAAATAGAACTTTTTGGTAAAAACTCTACTCGTCGTGTTTGCAGGAGAGAGAATGCTGAGTTGCATCCAAAGAACACCATACCTACAGTGAAGCATGGGGGTGGAAACATCATGCTTTGGGGCTGTTTTTCTGCTAAGGGACCAGGACGACTGATCCGTGTGAAGGAAAGAATGAATGGGGCCATGTATCGTCAAATTTTGAGTGAAAACCTCCTTCCATCAGCAAGGGCATTGAAGATTAAACGTGGCTGGGTCTTTCAGCATTACAATGATCCCAAACACACCGCCCGGGTAACGAAGGAGTGGCTTCGTAAGAAGCATTTCAAGGTCCTGGAGTGGCCTAGCCAGTCTCCAGATCTCAACCCCATAGAAAATCTTTGGAGGGAGTTGAAAGTCCGTGTTGCCCAGCAACAGCCCCAGAACATCACTGCTCTAGAGGAGATCTGCATGGAGGAATGGGCCAAAATACCAGCAACAGTGTGTGAAAACCTTGTGAAGACTTACAGAAAACGTTTGATCTCTGTCATTGCCAACAAAGGGTATATAACAAAGTATTGAGATGAACTTTTGTTATTGACCAAATACTTATTTTCCACCATATTTTACAAATAAATTCTTTAAAAATCAGACAATGTGATTTTCTGGATTTTTTTTTCTCATTTTGTCTCTCATAGTTGAGGTATATCTATGATGAAAATTACCGGCCTCTCTCATCTTTTTGAGTGGGAGAACTTGCACTATTGGTGGCTGACTAAATACTTTTTTGCCCCACTGTATGTGCTAAACTTTATTTTTTTAAACATTTTTTCATTATTATTAAAAGCAGGCCAGGTGTGCAATCTCTGCAACAGGAACCACAGCACTGAGCGTTGTGTGCACTGCACAAAGTATACCTGTCACAATGCAGGAAGGACTCACCTTCGGTTTGTGAAAACTGCTAAATGGGACAATTGTAGCTTCATATGTAGTTATTTTCCTTTGGACAAATAAATGCTACTCCAATACTGAAATCGTACTCTTTGTCATTTCCTAAGCTGAAATGTTGAATGACATGAAAAGGCGAAACAAGACAAGATACAATTATTCTCGAAGTTGTTCTTTTTTTCACATAGTGAGCTTTGCAATATAAATGAGTCTTTTGGTGAATGGACAAAATAAATAAGCTCTACCTTGCCTTGTTGGAAACCATGGTTATGACCTGTTCTTAGCTGAGGAACTAGGACCCGTATGATATCTGGTTGTTCAATAGGCTTGTCTAAATAAAAGATTTCGATATGACTTATCAATATATTTTTGCAAAAAGGTCTGATGTTGCAGGGGCAGGTAATGAAAAGTCCTTGGAAAATGGTCCCTAGCATCTTGTTCTAATGCCAGTTTGTTTCAGCCTTTATCCAGTCTCATGTAAAAGGGCTGGTTGATATGAGGAGGTGGCTGAGCGACAGGTGACACATAGGTGGGGGCCCGAGCAGCACCGCAGCGGAGGCAGGATTGGGCAGCTGAAGGAACCAGTGTGAATCTAGGGAAGGGATCTCTTGTCCGACTCGGTAGTAATGAGGGGGCACGAGAGGAACACCAGAGCAGAATCTGAGCAGCAGGGATTCAGAGGCGGCCAGTCCTCAGAGCACCGAGACAGGCGGGTGAGCAATCCAGAGCTCAACGAAATGAGGGAGACAGGAGACAGGTTAGAATTAGAAATCAAAAACATCAGGTTTCAGAGATCTGTCGACCTAGGTGTACCACAACAGTTTAACACTCTGGCGTCATTCAGCAGACTGATCGTTCCTCTTAAGCTCAGCCAATCAGTCTCAACAAGCCACAGGTTCACGCCCACCTGTCAGCAACAACCAACTGTGGAAGAGAGTAACCAGAGCACAGACACACTGAACCTTGACACAATTCAATTCAGTTCGTTTATATAGCACCAATTCACAACACGTAATCTTAAGGCACTTTACAGTTTACCAGATCATACAGTCAAATTAATACAAAGTTTTCTATCTAAGGAAAACCAGTTGATTGCATTGGCTCATTGACTCGAACACTAAGCATGCTTGTAGTGACAGTAGCGAGGAAAAACTCCCTTTTAACAGGAAGAAACCTCCAGCAGAACCAGGCTCAGTGTGAGCGGCCATCTGCTGAGGCTGACTGAACCTGAGAAACAGGTCTACACTGAAAAACAGGCCAATCTCGAACATCTGAAAACAAAGGTGTTGATGGCAGCAGCACAGGTGATTTCACAGCCAAACAGGAACAGACGAGGCGACGCTACTATGAGAAAAAGCAGAGAGAGCATAACATTAGAGATTGAACTAACAGATTCTGCAGAGTAGGAGAATAGAGATAGAATGAAGCAGAATGATGAAATAGGGGGTCCCTATGTCCTTCAGCAGTCTAAGCCTATAGCAGC